AATAAAAACCAGAGTGTTCTACCAAGAGAATTGATCATTTTCTCATTTTTAAAATTTTTAAATAATGGGGTATATGTTAATTTGGCTGTTTTGTATTATTAATAGGGGTAAATTTGGAAATAAAAATCAGGGTGTTCAACGAAGAGCCATTGGTCATTCTCATTTTTAATAATGGGTAATATATATATGTTAGTTTGGCAAGTCAGCATGTCTCTCTTTTTAATAATGGGTAATATATATATATATAGAGAGAGAGAGAGAGAATTTCAGTAAATAATAAGTATTATTGTTATTTATTGTAAATTAAAATATTTTAAAACATATCAAATATATTAAAAGGGGGCCCACTACTTGGTCTAATGGTAAAATCGCCAACGGTTAGGACTGATCCAATCTAGCCCTCTCAAGAGGCCAAGACACTAGATAAATGGGACCAACATTGGGTAATGGCCTTTATATCAGATCTATTAGAATTTCTAAGATACATATCATATGTAAATTACTAAAATAATTATTCTATCTTAACATTTTATTCTCTAAACTACTAAGATTAAAAAAAAAAAAAAATTTAACATAAATCTGGAATAATGGATTTGATAAATCATCCAATCCATATATAAACATTATTTATCTGCATTACATATAACCCCCAAGTTAATTAAATCATATATTATTTTAAATTTTTAATAACTTGCATAAAAGTTGAAGATCGTCTAGAAATTATGGGTGCAACTTGGGGCAGGGGGGCAACCTAAGCCCAGACTAACCCAACTTGAAATTTACATGGGTTGGGCTTAGATTTTTGGTCCTCAGACCTAAGACTTCAAGCTTTTCTATTTTTCAGGTTAGGCCCAGTCTTATACATACATGTATAATTTTAAAACGAATTCATTGACCAACTCAACCCAGCCCACCCAACTTGCACCCCTGCTAGCTAGTAGTGAACAATCATACCTCAAATTACAAAGAAGCAGATTAGGGTCTTGCTAATGGTTTGTGATATGACATTTTTTTCTCCTGTATTTAATAAGGTGTGAATAAACAGTAATATTTGAAAACACAACTAATGGTGTCAATGGTGCTAATTCATCATTAGCATCATATTTAAACCTTATCCCAACTATATGAGGTTGGCCACATGAACCATGTCTTATCATTCCATTTTGTTTGATGTCATAGCCATTAAAGATAATCATTATTAGGCTAAATTTGAAATCCAAATGGTTTATAATTAATGAGGCATGCATAAAAAAAAAAGTGGGATATAATGAATTGAATTTTACAATTAATGAACATTCAAATTTGAATTTTATACTTGCATTTAAATTTGAAATTCAAAGTGCATGGTTTACATTAGATAATACAGACTAACACAAGCTGATATGAACCCATTTATCATGCAGTACCGACCAATACAAATGACTTGGACCATTTTCACCCATGGCACGTGTTAGGCCTCTAGGATACTGATGCCAAACACCCTGTATTGTATAATATATCATATCGATGCCTTGAAACTTGTTGATAATCACAAGGAGTGGGAATCTACTCGTAACAAGACGCTCCTAACATAATCCCAACATGCCACGCATCCCATCTATATGTATATATTAAATCTGGGCATGGCAAGTCAGTATGTCTCTCTTTTCAGAAAATTTACTTATTTATTTTCTCCTTTTTGTATTTTTTTATTTTCTTTTATTTTAAAAATATAAAAAATAACCATTGCCTATCTTGATGGAACAAAAAATAAAGTTGTAGATGAATTATGCCAGCGATGGCTTGGTTTCTAATCCCGTTATTATTATCTCTGTAAGAAAAGAGATGATTAACATAAAAAAAAAATAAGGTTGTACACAATTAAGTAGGCACATAATTATGAGAGAGTGAATGAGAGAGATATATTATATTATTAAAGAGATAGAATGGGTGGAGAGAGAGAGGGAGAGATGGGGGAAAGAATGGTAATACAACTAGGGGTGTAAACGGATCTAATTCGAATTGAATCAAGCAATCTGAATTTGAACCTAATTAAAAAATTCAATTTCCGACAGATATTAAAAATTAATGCTCAAATACGAATTCAATTAAATATTCGAATATTCGATTCGATTTGAATTCAACCGATTAATTATTTTAGGTAAATGAAAAATATTTATTTATATAAAATATAAATATATAAATTACTTATGTAATTTAAATATTATATATATATATATATTATATACAATATTTAAATATATCTTATATTATATAAGAATTAAATGCCATATCCGAATTTGACCAATTATGATATTCAAATTATTTGAATTTGATTCAATTATGTTGAATCTCGAATTCAAAATCAGATTTTTGAATACGGTTCACACCCTTAAATACAACATACTAAAATGAAATATTCATAAATCAAATAATCTATACAGGTTGAGGTTAAACAATAAAACATAAAACAACATAAATAAAAATATTATTCTAAAAAATTATTAATTTGAAATCCACTAAACTTCCACTTAAAAATAATAACTATCAATAAAACTTAGTAAAAATTAAAACACATTTATCTTATAATAATTAGTAAAAATTAAGATATTTGGTTTTCTTAAAATGTTAATTAAAAACATTTTAGTTCCACTTAAAAACCAAACTTAATAAACACTAATAAAAATAAGAAACATAAATACAAAAAAAATATTAATTGGTAGCTTTAATAATATATTAAAATCCACTAAACATAATAAACATGGGTTTGATATATTGCACGTGTCCTCTTGTTGTATCATGTTTTCTTTATTCTTTTTATTTTATTAAATGACTTTGTATTAATGTATTCTAAAGTAAACAAATAACATTATTAAAATTAATAATTTTTATGAGTCAGGACCTTTAATGTGCATAATGCACATACAACATTAGAGACCTATATAAAGTAAAAGTAGTAAGAGACCTATACAACATAAGAGACCTATATAAAGTATTTTAAAGTAAACAAATAACATTATTAAAATTAATAATTTTTATGAGTCGGGACCTTTAATGTGCATAGTGCACATACAACATAAGAGACCTATATAAAACATAAAACCTGTTAAAATGTCAAAAAGATAAATAAAAATTTAAAATCCATTTAAATTCCTTTTAAGAAAACTTGGGTTCGACTTGGACCAGCTCAACTTCAATTTAAATATCTTAGGTCTCCTTGTAGTTGTTGTGACTCAATTTTGAATTACCTTATAGCATGGGCAAGGCTTGTATATGTAACATGTACCATGGTTTTTAAAATCGACTCGGAGACTGAACTGGTCAGGGGTCTAGTTACCAGATCGAACGGTTTGACCGTTCGAACCAAACGCTCGGACCATTCTAACAAAAAAATTAAAAAAAAAATAAAAAACAGTCAAAACCATTCGAACTGAGTATGTCAATCTTTAGTTCAAGCTATTGGCTTGGAAAGATTATGCTTGACCATATAACCAATTAGGGCTCAAGCCTTTGGTCCAATATCTTGGGTTAGGCTCAAAACCCAGACTTTTTTTTCTGTGTCGGACTCAAAACTAGCCTCTAAGTAGTTTTTTTTGTGTCGAACTCAAAGCTAGCCTCTAAGTAGCTCTAGCGCCGACTAAAACCCAATTTGACCTTAGCCTGACCCAACTATACACATGCAACTTTTTAGTGATAGACTGATAGCTCAAATTAATCTTATCATTTATACAAAAATTCCTATTTAGAGCTTTAAATTAGTGATAATAAGTAGGTTCATGCAAACTCATCTCAGGCTTGGACCCAATCTGAGAATGTCAATTTTTAATAGGCTAGGCTTGGGTTGGATAGATTCGGCTTGACCTCAGGCCTTAAAAGGATGTGCCTAATTCACCTGCTTGCCATGGGAAAATGTTCCCCTATTCTAGGGATGTTCGTGATTCGGTTAACCGAACCATGGCCCTTTTTTGTAAACTGAACCGGTGGTATCAGTTTTTTCATTTCACCAAACCGAAACCGAATCGGTACCACTAGTTAACCAGTCCATTGGTTTCGATTTTTGACCGGTTCGGTTCTTTGGTTTTTCAGTTTTTTATATTTATAATATATATTCTATAAATATATGTATAATATTATATTATAAATATTTTAAAAATATATAATATATATAATATATTTATAAATAGATCATTATAAATATAATATAAATATATATTTATATATTAAATGAATATATATTTATATATAATACATAGAAAATATGTGACATATTAAAAATATATAAAATATACATATAAATATATATACCGGTCGGTTCGATTAACCATCAGTTTTTTTGTTGGTTAACCAAAAACCAAAACAGTCCTTCGGTTTTTCAAAAATTCCAAACGTAAATTGAACTGACCAATTTGGTTAATCGCATTTTGTGGTCCGATTTTCTCAGGTCGATTCGGTTTTTCAGTTTTTTACGGACACCCCTACCTAATTCACAGGGGGACTGTAGGAGGTTGTGGCAATTCTTTGGTTAAGGCCTTAAAGGTTTCTGCTTGTGTCTTTCTTTTGGTTTGGGTGCGGGTACTGCTTAGCCATTGCTTTTTTGCTTGGGCTGGTTGATTGGTGGGCTTTGGTTTTCTTGGACACCATTGAGTGGGCTTTTGTGTTGGGTGCTCCTCTTCCGACAGCCTTTCAATGACTCGCTGAGTGCTGACAGCTGATTTGAGCTCTCCGGAAATTTCACCAAACATAGATAGGCTCTTCACGTGAAATTGACGCCCTCGGAAAGCCGGCAGCTCCCTCCCACCTAGTTAACCCATAAGCAATATAAACATGGAAATTGGAAAGCCCAAAAATATGGCTTTGAAACTACTTTTAGTGGCTTCTTTAGATTTAGCCCTCCCAAACGCGGACCCTAAACCAACTATTTCTAATCACTCTTACCAATTTACCATTATTCCCCATTAATTCCCTCCTTTGAGTTCCTTTATGTTCCATGAGTCAATATGTCAATTTGAGAGCTGAGATGACTACCATTAAATGGACGGCCAGGATTTAGCCAGTCAAAATATCCACATAATTGATCAAAATTAAATGGTCGGCCAGGATTATAAGCAAATTATCCAGAAAATATAAATAAACAAAACTTTTATTTTGATTAAAAAACCTCCAACCCATACAGAACGCCGGCGTGCTTCTCCGGCCCATCTTTGCGGAAATATATCTCTCTCATCTTTTGGAACGCATGCCACGTCAGTAAGCTATCGGACCCGGCCTGATGGCACTTCCCAACCGCCCGGTCCACTGCGAGCGTCTTGGCTACCCGGTCCAACCCACCGTACAAACTCTGACAAAACTTCATCAGATGCTTCACATCATAAATCCTAGTCCCGAATAATACCCTCAAAACCCTCAAAAATTCCCCGATCTCGTCCGGCAATCTCTGGCTGGTAAGGATCTTCACTAAGTAACCAAAATCGTACGCACTATGAAACGTTACCCAACTCACCGAGTCGTTACAGACGAGTCCCGATGACATCATCAACTCGGCGAAGCTGTTCGAGTCGATTCCCTTCGCCTTGTTCTTCTCGAAATCAATCCCCTGTTGCCTCAACAACTCAATCGAATCCGGGGCATACGCATCGCGGGAGACATCAAAATCGCGAAAGTTGAATTCCCAGATATACCGGTTGCCGGTTCCCAGATCCGGAAGGTTGCCGTCGGCGTCGGAGAAGGTGAGGCCGACTTGGATGAGCTTCAAGTAATCAACGTTGGATTTGAGGACGAGGTAATGCTCAGACGGCTTGTGGTGGTAGAACTTGCCGCTGTTGTCGGTCGGATAGAAGACGATGCCGGGGAATTCTGTGTCCATGGAAATGTAGGGGTACTGATCGATGACATCTTGGATCAACTCGAATTCGGATTCGAGATTATCAGACCATACTTCTCGGATGACGATCGGCTTCAGATTTGAATCGGAGTCGACGGAAAACATGATCGTCGATGATTCTGATTGATCTTTAATCCTTCTGACTATTAAATCTTCTTCATCGAACTCGGAGTGAGTTGGGAAATTGGAAATATTGTAGGGCTTCTGTGACGGGGGAAGGAGGGAGAGAGGCGGTGGTTATATAAAGGAAGTAGGGGAAGTTTGGTCTTGCGTGGGGCCCAAGCTTCGCTTTGACTCATAAATAAATGGCAGTAACTGAAGCCCTTGGCAGCTTGGCGAGTTGGCGTTTGGCTCCGCGAATTTGAAAATCAATTAAATATTTAATTAATTTTCTTGCTGATTTTGAAGTGATTTGGGTACATTTCGAGGTAATGGACTTGGCTCCTACGTGTTGGACGACGTGGATCCGATCAAAGCTATTTAGTTTAGGGGTTCAGATTTGAGAGTTTAAATTTTAGGGTTTAGGATTTAAAGTGTAGGATTAAGGTTTAAATGTTTAGGATTTAGGGGGCCTTCTTTTTTTGGATTTTGAGAGGGGAAAGTAGGTCAATGGGATTTTGGTAACCATGTTCTTTTTTCAGATTAATGTGGGGATAAAGGTTATTTTCCTAGGTATCATTTACTTGGGTAAATAACTTTCCCACTTGGGAAAAAAGTTTTTAACACTTGAATGGGACAAAAATGCCCCTTTTCATTATAGATTTATATGGATAAAATTGTCATTTCCTTGTTTTACTTGGAAAATAAAAGTACATAGGTAAATACACTTACCTAGGTAAGTGTTTCCTAGGAAAATGGATGGATAGATGTCATTACCAAACCCGACTACCAGAGATAAAAAAGTTAGGGAAATTTTCAATATAGCATCTTAAACTTTGGGGGTAGTGTCAAGTTAGTACCCGAACATCAAAACATGTCACTGCAATACCCAAACTTTGGAAAACTGTCACTTTAGGCCATGTTTGGTTCAATTCTCATTCTTTATCATTCTTATCCAAGATGAAAGTCCAAAATGGACAAGAATGGATAAAAGTAGGCAAAATGAGAAAACATTGCTATGAATCAAACACTTTTTTCCTAAAAATGAATTCTTTTCAGATTGACAAGTGTCATGTGTAAAAGTACTTTTGTAGAAGTGCTTTCATAAAAATACTTTGATAAAAGTACTTTCAACAAAGTACTTTCCTAATTTTTTTTTGTAAAAGTACTTTTATAAAAGTACTTCTGTAAAAGTACTTTTGTGAAAGTGTTTATAAAAGTACTTTCATTGTAGTATGCTAGCAAACATTTATAGCAGTAGTTTTATAGGCATATTTTCCTCAAAGAATGAAAATGAACAAGATGGGGCATGATTATTTTTCATGCCACAAAGTAGCGGCAAGCTACCTCAATTTTTGTGCTATGGGCTGATTTTTCATTCTAAAAAGAATGTGCCCATGGCAAGAATTTTATAACCAAATACTCTAATGTTATTTATTCTTGTTCATTCTTGCCCAAAATGAACAAGAATTGAAAGAATGAAACCTAGAGTAGTGAACCAAACATGGCCTTAATCTAAAACTATTAACGGACGTTAAATGACATGAAATGACATAAATGCCCTTGGACGTCATCTAATTTTCTTTATAATGTTCTTTGTGAAAATGACACAAATGACACGTTTTGGAGCTGAAGGTTTGGTAATTTATCTCAATGAGGACGGGAGCAAAGGTGTAGGGCCTGTAAGCAAAGGCAGTGTCTCCAATGGCCTGAAAAACCCTCCACATTTTCTCAGTTGCAGTGACATCCAATCCAACTTCGACCCCTCTTAAACTAGTCCTTACATTATGGTTTCTCTCTACAAAACGAAACCCATCCAAGAAAAATGAATCATCCTTTTTGGGTATCTATCCATCCAAGTATATGTTGTTTCAAAGTTTTATGAATCAATTACTGAAAACCTACAACTTTAGCTGCAGAGAGACCAATTCCTTTAAAGGAATAAGAAAATGACATAATAGCTGCTATGATGGATAGCCAAAACAGCTTGTGAAAATTGGGTATTTGAGACAGCATTATCTGAATGCATGCAAAGATGATCATGAAGGGATAGTGGTCGCTCTTGTGGAAGCAGTTGGACATTTGAACTGCTCTAATTGAGAAAAGCAATATGAAATTAAAACCAGACATTATCTACAAACAATTAAAGCCAAAATTGAATGAAAAGAAGTTAAAAGAACGACATTTAAAGCTTAGAGGGCATCGGATTAAATTACTTATGCCATGCTGATAGATGCAGTGACGCTGTATCCAATGGTAGCCCCCTATAAAGCTACCATATTGAGCTAATCCACAGAGCTGAATCATTAATCCTCATGAGAAAAAAAGGGGAAATCAGATATCCAATTAAAATTCCAGACATTCAAGAGAGACCAATTTGTTCTATCATTTAATTTCTCTAAAAAATCCCACCAAGAACAGACTGGTTTCATGAACCTTTTCTTTTTTCTTTTTACCTAGATTGGTGAAACCTATGTTGGCTTTCACTGCATCCATGTATGTGTAGTTTCTCTTGCCTGTAACAGGGTCAGGAGACTTGAAACAGTCAGGCAAGTAGAACAGATGTGAACCATGACAGTGAAGAGTATGAGAGCAGCAAGTCCGATTATCCAACCCAACTAAGCTACAATCCAAGCTAGGGAGAGAACTCCAGATCGAATAACAGTAGTAAACATGTGAGCACTTGCAGTCAACAATGTCCTTCGTATCAAAACGAATCACAACAAGTAAATATATTTAATTAATTTTTCAATAAGAATCTCATAATTGTTTTAACAATTGGGAACAATTACCTGATGGTAGAGTGGCCATAGGCCCTTATTTAATCCTTAACATGTTGGAATATCCAATGGCCATGTGACAAGCCACATGTTGATGGAAGATGATTATTTTATGGTTATCTCCATGCAACATTCTCACACACAATCATTCATTTTAAATAATTACCTATTTATTTATTTTCTATAAAAAYAAATTTATTTGATTGTTTATTTGAAAACATTTTTATGCATGGAGATACCAATATTGTTGGATTATTTGGATCCATATTCCAACTCTTATTGGGTCAATGGATATCCATTTGACCCAGTGTAGACTGGATGACCAAGTGGTTAGATCCTTGGTCAACATGAGACACTTGTCTCAAATCTGATGGAGCATGAATTTTACTGTTGAGGAACACTTATCTCAATTGGTTAGTCTGGTAACTGTTTGTTCCTAATAATAGGGAACTTAACGTTGGAGAAGCAACTATATAAGGGATCACTCCCAAGTGCTTCTCACACATGGCATAACTTCTTTACTGAGAAGGGAAAATATCCTCTCAGCTTTGGCTCTAATTAGATTAAGCAGTTCTCTCTTACACTTTCTTCGAGAGGTTGGTGTCTCGGATCCTATACTGCGCAACTGCTATTATTCTCTCTTTGCATGCAGGTTTGATACATAAAGATCTCAGCCATTCGCCTCTGCATGTACTTGGAGCATCAATGGTATCAGAGCGCAGCACCGACTATTATAGTGTTTAAAGTATAGTCGCGCCACACCGGATCTTACCTCATCATTTAAGATTCAGAGAAGGAGAGGAGAGAGAAAACAAACCCACTTTGAGGGTTTCCTCTCATCTCTACATCCCTGCCTCTCTTCTCGTCTCTCCCATCTGCGCACCCTTCACTGCGAGAAAGAGAACTGGTACGAGGGTTTCGTCTGGTTTCCGCTGCGAAACCCTGTTCGACTGCCCATCTCTGAACAAACGACGGCTCCAACAACTCCGAGACAACAAAATCCAGTTCAAAGTTTTTTTTCTCACCTCTAGTCCAACTATTGGCTTCTAACGACAGCGGCTTCACTCCTACGCTACTGCAACCTCGAAAGCATCACTGGTAGTTCAAGTTTTCTCAGATACATAAACGAATCTGCTGTTCGAGGAACTGCAGAAACTTTAGTCATCTCCATAGCTACTCAGATCTGAAGTGAGACAAGAAACCCTAAATAAATTTAGGGCTTTTTACTATTTTTGTTCACTACAAAACAAATCTGGTTAGATAAGGCAGATTCGACCAGTGAGGCGAACCCAAGCATCTTAAATCGGGTATAGAGTTTTATATACTTGCTTTTTTCGCCCATTTCAATTTTTGTTCGTTCGTTTTTTTTTTTTTTGCAATCGTTGATTCATACATCTTATTAATCATTTGTTGTCATTTTTTTTTAGGATACATTTTTTCAAACCACTTAGAAGCATCATTGCCGAATACCAAAGCTGCTTCTGAATTAAAAAGAGCAGTGAGAACTGGACAAATTAAATCAGCTGGATAACTTAGCTGCCAATTAGTATTTTTTGCGTAAACAGCTAAGTACTCCATTTGCATTTACTTTATTTATTTATTTTTGGCCTCCGAAATTGAATGACAGTCTCGTAAAATACAGCCAACTGATATTGCACTTGCTTTATTTATTTCTGGAATACTATTGCTATTTTGAATCATGTCTGCTACTGCATTATCCCAAGAACTCAGTAAAACTAAGAAACTGAATGGCACCAATTTTGCTCTCTGGAAACGTAGGATTAGAATGATACTTGATGAAGAAAATGTTGATTATATTTTAGATAAATCTATTCCTGCTAAACCTACTAATGATAATTCTTTGGCTGTAATTCGTGAATATCAAAAATGGGAAAAGGATAATAGGAAGGCAAGAAATTGTTTGTTAACTTTTATGGAGCCTGACATTGAAGTTGTGTTTGAAGAATACAATAATGCTAAAGATATGTTTGAAGCAATTAAAGAAACATATGGAAAAATAACTAAAACCTATGTTCAATTGTTAATTGAAAAATATTATGGTTGTGAAATGAGATAAGAGGATTTTGTAGTAGATCATGTTAGTAAAATGAATGTGATTGCCAAAGAGTTGGCAGCCACTGGGAACCCTATTCCTGAGAAAATTCAGGTCTCCACCATTCTTAATAGCCTCCCATCTTCTTGGAATTCTGTAGTAACAACTTTAAACCTATCTGGAAGAGAAGTTAGCATAAAAAACTTACCTACCTTATTAGGATTAGAGGCTGAGAGGAAGAGGAAGAAATCCCAACCTTCATCCTTAATGGTTACTCCCAAACCAATTGAAACTTCCTAAATGGCTGAAAAGCCTAAGGGCAAATTTTCAAAAATAATAATGGAAAGAAATTTAACAAGAAATTTAAATTCTCAAAATGATTCAAGAAGACTAAGGGTAAACATTGTTTTAATTGTGGAAAACAAGGCTATACAAGATACAATTGCCCTGAATGAAAGAAGAATAAATCAAATAATGAAAAAGGAAAAACTGAAAAGAAAGACATAGTCTGTGTAGTCTCTGAATCCTACTTTACTGATTCTGTTTTTTCTGATTGGTGCATAGATTCTGGCTCCTTTAAGCATATTTGCAAAACTAAAGAGATGTTCCTGAAATTGAAAGAAATGAAGACAGGATAACACATAATTTTTATGGGAAACAACACCTACACTGATGTACTTGGAACCGGAAAAGTGAAGATCCCCATAAATGAGAACACAAATTTAGTCCTTAATGATGTATTGTATGCACCTAGTTTTAGGAGAAATTTGTTGTCTGTACCTCTGTTAGATGAGAAGGTTTTTGATGTACATTTCAAGGGAGGAAAAGTGACCATAGAAAAGCATGGTAGAGTTTTAATGTTTGGGAATAAGTCTGATGGATTGTATCGTTTGACTATCAATAAAGTTGATGCTCTTTCTAGTTATGATTGTGCTTATCATGTGAATAAAAATGCATACATATGGAACATGAGACTTTGTCACATAAACAAAGATAAAATGATGAGAATGAGCACTAATGGCTTAGTTCCCAAAATAGAAATGAATTTCAATTATTGTGAACCATGCCTTAGTGGAAAAATGACTAGGCTCCCTTTTAAGAAAGGAAAGAAATCAGAGGAATTATTGACTATAATACACTCTGATGTTTGTGACCCTTTGAACGTAAAAACACATAGGGGTATGGAATATTTTGTAACTTTTATAGATGATTTCTCCAGATTTGGTTTTGTGTATCTAATTAAAAGAAAATCAAAAGTCTTAGAGAAATTTAAAGAATATAAAACACTTGTAGAAAACCAATTGGGTAAAAAAATAAAAACCCTTAGGAGTGATAGAGGTGGAGAATACATCTCAAACCTATTTAGTGACTTTTGTACACAAAATGGAATCATACGCCAATTAACCATGTCCTTCACGCTACAACAAAATGGAGTGGTTGAATGGAGAAATAGGACTTTGTTGGATATGGTGAGATCAATGTTATGTCACTCAAGTCTAGGAACACACTTTTGGAAAAAAGCCTTAGGTACTGTTGTGTATATCCTAAATAAGGTTCCAACTAAAATTAATAGCTTAACGCCCCATGAAATGTGGACTGGTAGAAAACCAGACCTGACTGACATCAAAATTTGGGGGGCTAGTGCCTATGTAAGAGTGCCAAATCAGCAAAGAAGCAAGTTAGATAACAAGAGTCTAAGGTGTACCTTTATAGGGTATAGTGATAATAACAAAGGATATAGGTTTGTTAATCATAAATCTGATGGAACAGTTGAATTAATAGAAAACAGGGATGCTATTTTTCTAGAAGATCAAATTGAGGATAATAAACATTTACCTATCTTATTTGAATTAAATAAAGAAATTATAGTAGCTGAGACTACACCTGATAGACAAGTTTCACCTAATAATGACACCTTAGGTATAATTCAAAGAGAAAGTATCCCTTCATCAAGATTAAAATATTATTATACCTACTTGAATGAAGAGTCTCTTGATGATCCAATTGACTTTGAATATGCTATTGATGCACCTGATAAAGAAAAGTGGTGTGAACCTATACAAGAAGAATTAGACTCGATAAATAAAATTCAGGTTTGGGAATTAGTTGATTTACCCAAGAATATGAAACATATAGGGTGTAAATGGGTATTAAAGAGAAAACTCAATGCTGATGGGTCTATAAAAAAATATAAGGCAAGATTAGTAGCAAAATGGTACACCCAAGTAGAAGGGATTGATTATGAGGAGACTTACTCTCCAATTGCCAAGTTTACCTCTATTAGAATCCTAATGTCCTTAGTTGCCTTTTTGGACTTAGAGTTGTGCCAATTAGATGTCAAAACTACTTTTCTTAATGGAAAGCTGAATGAAGAAATATACATGACTCAACCCAAAGGTTATGTAATAGAGGGACAAGAAAATAAAGTGTATAAATTAAAGAAATCATTATATGGTTTAAAACTGTCCTCTAGGATGTGGTACCATACCTTTTATGAAGCAATCTCTAAACTTGGATTTATACCTAATCAGTTTGATCATTGTGTTTACTCTTTGAATAGTGGGAGCAGTTTTGTTGTTCTTTCATTATATGTAGATGATATTCTTATTACTGAAAATGATGTGTCTATGATTAATGAAACCAAAGATTGGTTAAAAATCAACTTTGAAATGAAAGACATGGGTGATGCAAATTATGTACTTGGAATTAAAATAGAAAGAGATAGGAACACTAAAACCTTAACTCTTTCACAAGAGCATTACTTGGAAAAAATCTAAGGAAATTCAATATAAAAGATTGTAATGGAGTTGAAACTCCAATTTGTAGAAGAACCAAATTAAGTAGAGATATGGCTCCCACTAATGATGAAGAAATAGAGAAAATGAAGTATAGACCCTATGCTCAAGCTATTGGTAGCTTGATGTATGCCAGGCTTTTCACAAGACCAGATATCTCATATGCAGTAGGTCTTGTTAGTAGATACCAAAGTAACCCAGGTAAAATACATTGGAAGACTRTTRAAAGAATATTTAGATATTTGCACTTAACAAAACACTTCAAATTAACCTATCATGCAAACGATTTAGAGTTACTGGGTTATTGTGATGTAGATTTTGCAGGTGACCCAGATGATAGAAAATCTATAACCGGGTACTTATTCCTCTTAGGAGGAGGTGTTGTTTCATGGACAAGCAAGAAACAAAGCTGTATAGCTAAATTCACCATGGAAGCTGAGTTTATCTCTTGTAGCTCCACAACATCTGAAGCTGTTTGGATTAGGAGATTCTTAGAAGAACTCTAAATTCCTAATGTGCCAATAGGAGCTGTAAAGATCTTCAATGACAACCAAGATTCCATTAAAACAATTAAAAATGGTGAGATCGGCCCTAAAGGAAAACAAGTAGATCTCCATTACCGGTATTTATATGATGTCTACCAACGGAATGAGATCCTGGTAGAATATGTGCCTACAAAAGATATGATTGCTGACCCCTTGACTAAACCCATTGCAATTACAGATTATGTAAGGCACGCTAAAGCAATGTTGTTGGTTGGCACTTATTCATCTCGGGCCTGACTGGCCAAGTGGGAGATGATGGTAGAGTGGCCATAGGTCCTCGTTTAATCCTCAACATGTTGGAATATCCAATGGCCATGTGACAAGCCACATGTTGATGGAAGATGATTATTTTATGGTTATCTCCATGCAATGCTCTCACACACAATCATTCATTTTAAATAATTACCTATTTATTTATTTTCTATAAAAACAAATTTATTTGATTGTTTATTTGAATGCATGGATATACCAATATTGTTGGATTATTTGGATCCATATTCCATCTCTTATTGGGATGGATATCCATTTGACCCAGTGTAGACTGGATGACCAAGTGGCTAGATCCTTGGTCAACATGAGACACTTGTCTCAAATCTGATGGAGCATTAATTTTACTATTGATGAACACTTATCTCAATTGGTTATTCTGGTTATTGTATGTTCCTAATAACAGGGAAATTAACGTTGGAGAAGCAACTATATAAGGGATCACTCCCAAGTGCTTCTCACACACGACATAAGTTCTTTACTGAGAAGGAAAAATATCCTCTCAGCTTCGGCTCTAATTAGATTAAGCAATTCTCTCTTACACTTTCTTCGAGAGGTTGGTGTCTTGGATCCTATACTGCGGAGCTGCTATTATTCTCTCTTTGCATGCAGGTTTGATACATAAAGATCTCAGCTATTCGCCTCTGCATGTACTTGGAGCATCATTACCAATCCTTTTTACGTGTCGCGTCCGTCGTTGTCCAAACCCTTATGGTATTTATTTGATGATTCACAATTTGTACTCTCCTAGTTGAAAGGCAGTTTGGACGTCGGACTAGTGAAGTCGTGTGGTCAAGCTATCAGAAAAAACAATACCAAAGGTCCTAGGGTACTTTATCCGGTGTAGGCACTCTGATGCTCAAGTTAGCGAATAATGTTATAGCTAGCCAGTTTACTTGTAAGTATGAGGGTATGAGAACTAAATTGTGCACATCTTATGAGGCTGGAGGTGATGCCCTTATATAGACGAGTTGTCGTAGACTCACAAAACATATCCGAGATCTCCGACCCGCATAAACAGGAGTCCGTTTCACACCCAGAGATGGACTTCGTGTGAACTGGTAAGGCTTATCGAGTCTGTCCTATTTGGGTGGGATAAGGATAAGGTTCACTGACATGCGGTGTGATCCCAGAGATATTAGAAACGGCTGGATAGCTTCTAGAAGAGGGTTACATGGCACCTCAGTAGGTTAGGACACCACAAGCTACTCGGACCTCGGTCTTAGCCAAGGTGTCCAAGGTGCCCGAGTTGACCTGGCCTGCTGAGGTGTTCGAAAATACTAAATTGTCATCTAATCAAGTCTCTCGACATGTTCACGTACTAACAGATTGGGCCAAATTACCCCTCATCAGTATTAGTTTTTCGGTATTACTAGTCCTTATTTTTTTTAATTTCTAGTATTAATTTTATTTTAAC